GCGCCGGGTCCCCGCCTGTGGGTCCCGGGGTTGCTGCCTGGCCGGGCCCCGGCCCGTCCTTGAGCATCGCGGGCAATGAATGGAGCCGGCCGGGGCGCGGGGCGCACGGAAGCGGAGCCCCCGCCCGGTGCCCCCCGCCGAACCCGCCATCCAAGCGGGCGGTTCGGAGCCTGTCGGATCTAGCGCGAGCCCGGGCTCCTAGCCCTGCTGCCCTCCCCTGAGAGACCGCCTGCCTGCCTGCCCTCCCGGGGCGCCTCTTCGAGCGGCGTTTTGGGCAACAGGTACCCCGAGCCCCGCCTGGCAGTGGCTGCCCCCGCAGCCAATCACTCCTGAGGCGTCCCATAGCTCTGCCAGTGCCCTCACTCCTGCCCTGTTACATCCTGCCTTTGCTATTCCTGCCCTCCCACAATTCTTCTAGTGCCTCTTGAGCCCGGTGCTCTCCGCTTCCCCCCCAAGTGTAGGTTTCTCAGAGGAGACGATTCACTGAATTTATATGGTGCTGTAGACAGATGTCTGCCTTACTTTAAGCCAAAAAGCTCCTTTCCTAGGAAACGACCCCAAGGTGTTAGTCCAGCGGGCTGAATGCGCAAGATTGTTCTGGTGATGAACGACCCCAAGGTGTTAGTCCAGCGGGCTGAATGCGCAGGATTGTTCTGGTGATGGAGATCTACCTTTTTAATGTCCTGTACATTTGCTCCTCCCACAGGCCAGGTGGGGGCACCTTTTGGGTTACATCTGGAACAAGATCTTTACATCACGTCTACACTCGCGGCTTCTTACGCAAGTATGGCCGTTCTTGCGCAAGAATCCGCACAGCATCCACACTGCCTGACCGCTCTTGCGCAAAGAAATGGTAAGAGAAGGCTTCTTGCGCAAGAGCTACGCTCTTTTTTTTAACAGGTGTAAGCCCTCTTGCGCAGGAGCTCTTACGCAAGAGGGCAGTGTGGGCGCTCGGCACTGTTCTTGTGCAAGAAGCCGCCAGTGTCGACGTAGCCATAGAGACCAGCATTGGCTAGATATCAGCATCTAATAGCCTCTTAGGGTATGTCAGTGCTGCAGTTGGACAGCCTTGGCTGGTTCATGCCAGTTGCTTCAAACTGCAGGGCTCCAGCTAAGGCCCTGTTTAGGTTGCAATACAGACATTTAAATTGCCCCATCTCTGGGACCTACAACTTTCTCTAGCCCAAACATTGCACTGCAGTTAAACAGCTCCTTAGCCCAAACTCTTTGAGCCTAAGTCAGTTAACACTGTCCAGGAGAGGTTTTTAATTGTAGCATAGACATATATGGGTCCTCCCTGCTTCCTTGTGATGTTGGTTTTGGGGGAGATAGAAAAAAGTCTCTGATTAATATGTCAAAGTTCTTTTCCCTTGCTGCCTGCCATATGTTTGTGATGCAATAACTGGTTTACAATAGCTGCTTGGTATTAGAAGTTGGGTAAAGGGAAGAGGCTTGTTCCCCTTACAGCCGGAAAAGGTGCTGTAATCTTGCAAGGAATGAGAGCAGGTTGGGGGGCCTAGCTGGCCAAACCTAAGGGACTCTGGCTCTTCCAGTGTAATCCCATCCAGACCCCACATCCATGCATTCTTAGCCGCTCCAGGATGAAGTGCTGGCCCTGGGCCTACGTCTGCCTATCAGCTGTTTTGAGCCCTGCTACAGAGTGAAGGCCTCTTGCATACACACAGACTATGCTGTCCACTGTGGGACTGAGTTTACTTATCTGTAAAAGGTTATTGCCTTATCTCTGTGTTGCCCTCCTCACATGCTTGTAAAACCTGTTGGGCTTACCTTACCACACAAGTGCTCTCCATGGTTTATCTATGAGCTAACTACAAATGTATGCAGGAACTCAGAATTTGTGAGCACAGCACAATTTGGCCTTTGATGAATGGCTCTAATTGTTTACCCAGTAGAAATGACTTGCTTTGAGTAGGGCACAACATGGGATTTATCCTGGATCAATTCAGCCTGTATTGGTTTGATAATAGTGTAGACATAACCTATAGTTACAAACCAGTAAAAAGACTGAATGAGCCACCCCCATCTGACTGACTTGTGTGAATGAGGCTAATCAACTTCTTCCTTGTGTGTATATTTCCTTCTGTAACTTCTATTCCAATTCATCTGATGAAGTGGGTTTTACCCACAAAAGATTATGCCCTAATAAATCTGTTAGACTCTAAGGTGTCATAGGCCTCCTCCTCTTTGCAGATACAAACACAGGTACCTCTCTGAGACTTTTCCCCTAGGAGGGGCATGTAGTCCAAGCCTACAACAGAGGGATGCCTCACCTGCAGCAGCATGGCTTGTGACCAGTTGTGCAGCACAGCTCATAGGTGATTCATCAGCCCCGTCCAATCAGAAGCTCAGGGTTCCCTGCATGGATCTGGCTGACTGGGTGGGGCTGATGAATCACATGTGAAGCTGTGCTGGTATGCATCTTCCAGGGAACACTGCCTATGACTATTTTGGCCAGACCTGCAGTGAGCAGGAGGAAGGTAAAGCCTTGATGGAGCCTGTGTGGCTTCAATTAGCATTCTGTTAATGGGATTAGGCAGTAATGGGGCAGCCTTGAGGAGGAGGAACCAAAGACCGGACTATGCAGCACTTTAAAGTCTAACAAGATGGTTTATTAGGAGGAGGGGAAGAGAGCAAGAGCCAAGCTCCTGACTGGCACTTCTTTTGAGACTTATTGTGGCCCCTACTGTCTTTCCTTCATCTCTAGCCCTGTTACAGTGATTTCTGTGGTGCAGTTTGATTTGTCCGCATGGGCAGCCATCCCTTAGGACACATTTTCCCAAATGTTTTGGGTAGGATCTCTCCCATTTGGGAGGGATTATTGATGAATAGGTACCTTCCACCCCTTAAGTTAAATACAGAAAGGAGCAGTATGTTACCACTGTGTGTGTTAGGGTGAGGGGAAAGACATGGAGCATTATGACACGGGGGAATAGGATGCCCATTTACTAAGAATTCTTCACTGTTGGAAAATATAGTCACATTTCCTCCTCTCCCTGCGTGTGGCCCTTACCCTCCACCCTTTTGCTTCTTCTATCCTCCCTATCATTTTTCCACCTTTCCCAGTGTATTTTTTCCTCTGTGACCTGGTGGCGTCACCTCCATGTTCCCATTTCTCTCTCACACACACACACCCCCAAGTGACTGCGTGCTGCTGGACTTGGGAAGATAAGTGCCCATTTGTATCGTGGTGGGATTAGGCTTCACTTGCTGCCAGGGCTGAGTTGAATGTTGCAGAAGGAAAGAAGTGTGGGTAGATGAGATGTTGCTTGCAGCTGTAGCTTGATGTGTGAGCAGCACCCACAGGCCACTCCCAGATGCCACTGAGAGAGCAGAAAGAAGGCAGGTGACTTTCAAAGAAACCCTTGCCACTTGGATCAGACCTGTGGAAGCCCATCTGCAGGGGAAGGGGGAAATGGACAGATCTGGGGACATGCAGCTATTCACACTTCCAATGCACACCCCTGCTTTGACTAAATTGGTGCTCACCAGGCAAGGAAACACTGTTAAAGGTCAGTCATTACTGGCTGGGAATGGCCTTCTGTAAGTGGGGCTAGCACTCATTCATTACTCTGGCTGTATTCTGACCAACCCTCTTGCTCCTGCCCTTCCAGAAAATTGAGACCGAAGTGGACACGTTCCTTCAGGAGCTGCGTGAGAGAGTCCAGATTGGCGTGGTGGGAGGCTCTGACTACTCCAAGATAGCAGAGCAGCTGGGGGAAGGGGATGAAGGTGAGATGGTCCTCCTGCCCCAGACCAGGGGGATGTAGGAAAGGAAGAGGGAGCAGCACTTTGGAGAGAGAGAGAGAGAGAGAGAGAGACTGCTCTCCTTTGTGGGGCTGGAGGTAGTTTGGCTTGTCTGCTGTTGGTAATTACGAATAGCTGTAGATACCTGAACACTGAGTTTGATTCCACCCATGGAAATGATAGAAATCATCCCCATTGAGAGAATTTGCACTGCTATCGTTACTACTTATGCTACAAAGCTCACACCCAGGCAGCCACTCCTGCTAGAAGCAGAGCGCTTGTACCTAAGGGCCTGCTTCCACTGAAGTCACTGGAACCAACAGGAAGTTTGCCATTGAGAGCAGGGTCAGTCTGCCAATAGCCAGACCTGCAACTAGTCACATCAGCAGAACTGACCTCTCTAATGGAGCAGAAGAGCACATGTAACCCATTGTGTTTGCATGTTTGTGTCCTTCTGTGCTTGATCTATGTAGCCTATGAGCACATGTAACCCATTGTGTTTGCATATTTGTGTCCTTCTGTGCTTGATCTATGCAGCTTACGAGTACAGTTTTTAACTCTAGCAGTAGCCACATGTGCTTTTAGCTGTCATGGATTTGCAAAGAGCATGGGATGATAGAGTGGCCCATTTAGAATTTCCCTTCTCCTCTTCCCCGCCTCCATAAGCTATATAGGCCTACCACCTTCAGGTTTGATCATCTGTAACCTCCAGTAGGTCCATAAGCCATAGACATTCCATTCTCCCACGCTCTATATTTTGAGCATCTAAATGTCCTGAATAGCAATGAGAGATTGGGCAAAGTGCTTAGATACAAAGTCGAGATTGATGCTCCTGGGGGAATTCTGCACCACGGTGAATGTGCAGAATATATGTCTCCTGCAGATTTCTTTGCTTCCCTGCAGAGAAATGACTTTGACAGGAAAGCCACAAAAGTGGTCATGTGACCCTCCTGAGCAGGATATTTAGCCACAAAAGTGGTCATGTGACCCTCCCGAGCAGGATATTTCAGGTGCCCAGGGCAGGTAGCAGAGAGGTAAATCACTGTGGGATTGGGGGTGGTCTGGAGAAGACATGGCTTCTTTCCCTGCATAGTATCCATTCCCAGATTTCTCCTTCAGCTGCAAGAAGCTCAGTAAACTCCTCCCTTCTCTCTCACTTCCTGTACCCACACAGCTCCTCAGCTGCAGGGGCAAAGAACCCTGTAGAGGGAGCTGTTCCCCACACTCCCACTGAGCCCCAACCACCTTCTCCTGGACTCTCTTCAGAGTCCCATTACCATTGCACCCAGAATCCCCCAACAAATCCATGGACATCCAGATCCCCCTGTGTCCAGACTGCCCCACACAGAATGTTCTCAACCTACACCTGGATCCCACCCCCCAACTAAGTCCCTCCACACTCAGATTCTGTTTTGCTGATCCTGATTGCCTACAGCTACCTGATTGCCTACACCTAGCATGGAGGGATCAAGGCCCTCCCGTGTTTCTGGGGCAGACCTTGTCCTTGCATTGTCAGGGTTGGGTGCAGCCTCACCGCTGTCGTGTACCATGGGAGGAGCTGCACGGTGATCAGCCAGTGACCTGTGCTCCCCAGTGCCATGCTGGAGCCTTTGCATTTATTTGACAAATACAGTTTTCAGAATTTTTAATTGTTTTGGCACAGAACGCCCTCGGGAATAGACTGAGGAAGGGACAGCTGCCCTGTCCTCTCACTTTCCTTTTCCCATTTTCAACTATCAGCATAAATACTGGAATCCTCTTCCTAGCTCCTTAGCACAGAGAGGCTGCCTGGTGACATGACTCATGGCTCAAGAGAGCATGAAGTTAATTGCAAGGTCAGCAATAAACTGTTTATTGCAGCTAGGAGAAGCTGGGGTTAGATAACTAGTAAGTGCATTGCTGAGGGGAGCAGGGTGGAGGTAGGTCGAGGAGAATGAGCACATGGCTGGGAGTCTGGCATCCCTGAGCTGTAATCTCAACTCTGCCACTGAGTCCCAGCAGGTCGCTTCCCCTTTCTATGCCTCTTGTTCCCCATGTGTAAAATGGGCATAACCTCCACCAGCTTCACAGGGAGTCATGAGACTCAAGGCCTGTTTGCCAAGGCTACGGCCATGGAGTAAAGTCTCAGAGCACCCTGAATCCAGCCAACACCCATCACTCAGCACTGCTCCATCTCCGAGTGGTGGATGAGGTTGTGCTAATGTTTTTTTCCTCTCGCTTTCATTTCCTTTATCCCCTCCCCCCGCCCCACACATCCATTCCCCACAGTCATCGACAAGTTTGATTACGTCTTTGCGGAGAATGGTACCGTGCAGTACAAGAATGGGCAGCTGGTCGCTAAACAGGTAGGCCTAGCTCACTTGCTGTGTCACTCACCAAGCCATGGGGGCCCCTCTTTCCATGTCTCCTCCACCAAGTCCATCTACAGTTCCAGCAACACCACATGAAACCAGCAACATGCCACCATCCAGAGATCTGCCAACTCTACTCCCCCTAGCTCCTACCAAATCTGCCCTACTCCTATCCCATCGTTATAGTTGTTATCCTGGATGGATTTTGTAGAATAGCTGAGCCAGGAAAAAATATTCCACTTCTGCTTTGTTGATCTTTGATGGTAGCCTTGGCTTCATGTGATCTCTAAGCTTTTCTCTCCCCTCCCCCTCAGGCTATCCAGAATCATCTCGGAGAGGAGCTTTTGCAGGAGCTGATCAACTTTTGTCTCAACTACATGGCACTCCTGAAATTGCCCAAGAAACGGTAATGATTCTCCCCTGCACATCTGCTTTTCCTGTATGATTCAGATCCAGGCATTGGAACATCACAATCCCATTTAAAATTGCAGAACTACTGGCTTTGCTTTTGGCCTCATTATCTGTATTTTGATAGTACATAGAGGCCCTAACGAAGATCAGAGTCTTGCTTTCCTGGACATTGCAAATGAACAATTTAAGAGACGGTTCGTGTTCTAAAGAGTTGATAATCTAGAAGGGAGGCAAGAGTGGAAGTATTGTTATCTCCTTTTTGCAGATAGGAAGCTGGAGCACAGAGATTGTGACTTGCCCAGTATCACATGCATCCCGTGGTGGAGCTAAGAACTGAACCCACATCATTTGAGTCCCTGTACCCTAACCACAAGATTAGCTTTGCTCGCAGATTATTTAAGATTCCCTGGCTTCTGAGATGCTGCTCCCTCTCCCGAGGTCTGTCCTAGATTGAAGTGGTTTGATTCCTTCTCTTTAAAGACACCTTGTCATCCTGGGGCAGCTCTCCTCAACTCTATATGAGCTAAGCTTAGCCGTCGTTAATATCCCAGTAATGTGCCTTGCTTTGCTGTAGCATCAAAAGTGGAGACTTGTTTATTCCTGGGCTTACAACGTGAGACCTTTATACCTGAAGCATGAGGATAATCCTATTGTAATTTTTAGCCTATCTAGTGTCCCTGCAAACATTTATGACATCACACGTTTTACAGCCACTCCTATTTTAATAAATTCTTCTCTCTTCCCTTCCCAATTGTGTGTTTAAAAAAAAAAAATGTACACACGAACAGCGGAACCTTCATAGAATTCCGCAACGGAATGCTCAACATCTCTCCCATTGGCCGAAGCTGCACCCCAGAAGAGCGAATAGAATTTTCTGAGCTGGACAAGGTAACTGGCCAAGATCCATCCACCTTCCCCTCCACCTCCTTGACGTGGCATAAAGTCATGGGCATTGACCACTTCTGGCCGTGTAACATCACAGAACTTAGGTCTCTTGTTCCTCACTTTCTGTTATGCTAACATAGTCCTGGGCCCAAGCCTCATTCTCTAATATCCATGCTGATGATTGTGTTGGTGCCTGTGAGCTTGCCTGTATAAGTTCTAGCAGCTGAGGCTAAGCTATGGATTGGAAGCCAAAGGAAATATGTAGAAGAAAGAATTGACCTAATCTGCTGCCGCTGACCAAGTAGGGGTACAGGCTCCCTATGTACAACCTAGTCCTGGAGAAGCCATCCTAAGAAGAGTCCCTCATTTTCAATGGGTTTTTTCCAGTGTCATGACTAGAGATGATCTTTGACCAAAACCCTAAACCAACTGTCCGAACTTAGGAGTGAATTTACAGCTCGGGGCCCATCTCCAGTCACGGCCAAGCAGCAATGTCAATTGATGTCTTATTCCATTCCCCAACCCAAGTGGAGCAGATGTCTCCTGAGTGGGCTTTCCAGACCAGGAGCATCCCTGTAGATCTGTGTGAGCTACAGAGTTCTGACATCCTGGCAAAGGCTGGCTGAACCAGCCTATATATGGTGGCTTCTTCCTCCCCTCCCCAAAGGCAGAAGAGATCAAGAGTCAAGACATGATGACAGATGTATAAGCAGGGAACCTATGGACTTCAGTTCTTAAATGGGCCTCTGAGCCTCCAAGGGAGAATAGTGTTGATGGTAAAATGCATCAGCTCCGGGGTGGCGGGGAGGGTGTGCATGAAGGGACTCTGATTGCTCAATAACTGACCATCCTGGACCTGGGGTTCCCTAGGCTAACGTGGTCGGGGAGGGTGTGCATGAAGGGACTCTGGTTGCTCAATAACTGACTTGGACCATCCTGGACCTGGGGTTCCCTAAGCTAACGTGGCCAAGGTTAATGTGGCCTGGGTACAGGACTGTAGGACTGGTCTGGAGGGAAGGGATCATATCCAGAAATGAAAGCAGCATTAATGCAGAGTCCATTTTAAATCCCTACAGCCCATGCTGAATCCCTCCTGCCTCCCTGGTACTCATTACAGGAGGCAGGAAGGAGGTTGTGCTTGCTACAAGGGTTTAACAAGGAAATTCTGGCCTGAAAACAGACCCTTGGTAGTCAGCCTCTAGGTGAATCTAGACATTCAATGGAACGAGGCCTATCAAAGATACAATCATTCAAAAAACCCCTTCTCCTGCTGTCCTTCTGTTTATCTCATCTACAGAAAGAGAGGATCCGGGAGAAGTTTGTGGCAGCCCTGCAGCAAGAGTTTGCTGGCAAAGGCCTGCGGTTCTCTCGAGGTGAGCAAGGTGCATGAGGGCTACTGTGGGATTTCGCAGTGTGATGAATTTCCTATAAGGATCTTGGAAGGGAAGGATGCCAGGCTGTTTCCTGCTTAAAAGTGAGTGAGATGATTGAGTAAATGTCAGAGGTGTACTCCCAGTGAAGATCCCTGGGAAGTATATTCCCCATGTTCATCCCTGGGGAGGGATCTTCATCCCAGTTTCCTATTTAAAGTATGATAACGGTCAGAAAACCATAGATCTGCTTCCCTGGTATCTCTCAGATGTGCTGGCATTAGCGACATGCTAAGTCTTAACTATTTCACTCCTGTTAGCTGTACGAAGCCGACACTGTGATGGGGCAGAGAGCTTGAATCTGTTCTGTCTCAAACAACAGCAACAGAATTGCAAACAGAGTTCCAGACACAGAGCCAAACTCTGTCCTCAATTACAACCTTAGAACCCCACTGAGTCAGCTCCCAAGCTGTGTTTGCAGGAGTGACTCAAGACAACTGCCCTTACTCCATTTACAAGGCAAAGCTGATTCTAGAGTCATCGAGAGGCAATAAATGTGGGGCCCAGGATGCCATTTTTGCGGTCACTAATCAGAGCAAAACTGCACTTTAAGGGCCCGATTATCAGGAGTGCTCAGCCACTAGCCACCTTCACTGAGCACAGTGGGAGGAGCAGCACTCCTGAGTCTTTCCACAGCAGTAGTAGGCCATTGGGAAGGGTGAGTGACAGAGCTGAATTCTTCAGAACCATTCAGCAAGTAAAGTAGGTCTGATTGGAAATGGAAGGCACCCATCAAAAACAGCCCATTACTAGGAGTGTAGCTACAGCAAGTAAAGTAGGTCTGATTGGAAATGGAAGGCACCCATTAAACAGCCCATTACTAGGAGTGTAGCTGGGCTGGGGGGTCATAGGGCTGGCAAGTCATAGCCACCCTAATTCAGAATCCCCAACCATGTGCTCCGAGGTGCCTGCATCTCTAGGCAGCCCCAGTAAGAACATCTTGTGATCCCTGCAAGCATTGACACAGAGCATTTGTCATAGCAGAGAAGGACAAAGACATTGCAGTCCTGTTTTCCTCCTCAAAGGCACATGGAACAAGAACAGAACAACTGTCCTTTCTCCCATGACTTTGGTAAGCTGAGGGCAGTCGGCTGGGATTGTAAGTGAGCACACCAAGATAATGGGAGCTGTGGGGCTCAGCCCCCCCCTAAAAATAAGGCATAAAGTGTTTGGTGTACCCCAAAATGGAGACACATACAATTAAGAATGCCTTCTGAAAGGTGTGTGCACACAGATGAAGAGTGGCAGAAGGCCTCAGGCACTCCCAGCACCCAGTCCCCTGCTCAAACCGCTGAACAATGAGACAGAACTCACTGTCCTTCCCTCTGCATTTGCTCTTATAGCCTGGGCAGCATCAGGGCCCCTCTCACTGACCGGCTCTGCTTAGTGACAGAACGCAAGGACACACTATTTTCCATATTTAAATAAATATGGAGGTATAAAAGGGAACCATTATGGGTAGGGCTGGAACTTTGGAGTCCTGGATTTAGTTCCTAGTCTTCCCCAGGCTTCCTGTGGGACCTTTAAGCAAATCACTTAGTGTCTCTGCCACAGCCCCCCACCGGTGTAAAAGGGGAGCATACTTTTCTCAGTACCCCCAGGAGGTAGGGGACTTGAGGCATTTGATTACGATGGGGGTCCTGCAGGGCCCTGCAGCTACCCAGCTGTCAGTTCCCTCCTAGTTCTCCCAAGAACATGGTTGCAGCCCAGAATACTTGCAGTAATGTTCCCCTTCCTGGGGTGCAGTCCTGGCTTTCGGAAGTCACCTCCTTGGGCCCGCCCAGGCCCTTCCCTCTTGGAGTTTCCAATTTCACCTTCTATCTAGGCCTTCAGTTCTCAAAGCTGACACACCCACTCCAGAATCTCTCTGCTGCTCCTTCTCAGCCAACAGCTGGGTTTTATCCTGGATCAGAAGGCAGCTCCCTGACTAACACCTGCCCTCCATTCCCCAGCTTCTCTGCTGCCTCCTTAAACAGCTCTTCTTTAAAGGGGCCATGTCATGGAACAGGGGTGGCTGGCCCCAGATCCCACTACTCATGAAAGGGGACAGATGCTGGTACAGTGCCTATGGCAGATTCCTGTCTCCAATGCCTCTGGAGCAAAGCAGGACCTTCCCCCCACACACCCACCTGCCTCTCTGGTTCCAGTTTGCGCCCTGGGCTGAAGTCACAAGGGCCTCGCTGATGCCATCACAGCCCATTGTCATAGAAACAGCAGCTGCTGTCAGCCTGATCATGCATTAGAGACTCAGTCACCATGGCTGGGCTGGAGCCTGCCCGGTCCACACGAACAGACATGCCCCTTTGCCTCAGGATAGCGAGGGCCAGGATTCACCCAGCACCTGTCCAACACCAGCCTGCTGGCCTAACACCCTCCCTCCTGCTGGCAGGTGGTATGATCAGCTTTGACGTCTTCCCCGAAGGCTGGGACAAGCGCTACTGCCTCGATATCCTCGATGACGAGAGGTTCGACACCATCTACTTCTTCGGGAATGAGACCACCCCCGTGAGTACACCCTGCCTTTCCTGGGGGAGGGGAAAGAGCCATTTCTCTGAGGTCAGGGCATCTTCCCCAGCTATACGGACGTCACCTAACTCCCTTTGCAATTTGAGTCAATCAAGACTGCCCTCTAGTGGGGAAAGGGCTCCAGTACAATACCATAGTAGGCTGCAGTCCCAGCAGAACTTACATCTCCAGGGAAACCTGAGTCTGTAAGAAGAGATGTTGGGGATTTAGCAGGCGGATGGATCTCTTCCTTCTGAGTCAGTACTGACCAGTGGCCCAGCACAGGTCTGGGAAGGGCTGTGCTGCTGAAGCTGCCATGTAACCAATGAGATGTAAAACCAAAACCTCACCCGCTTCTTCAGCGACTTTTCAGTGTAAACAGGAGTGGCTCAGTTAGCAATCTGGACTCAGCTACAGGATGATCTTACCTGCTGCACTAAGCTGACTTGGGCATCTCCACCCACCTAGGGAGAGGGGTGTTAGCCAAGCTCCAGCTTGGATAACCACATTGTGCTGCTCTGAAATTCTCCCTCAGTTTCAGATGGGTGTGGTATCCTTCACTTCCTGTCCTAAATTGCTCTGCAGTGTTGTAGCTGCAGAACAGCCATGTAAACAGGGTCCTTTCCCACATACTCCATTAGCACAGTTCACACATTGCAGAAACCTAAACACCTTTATTTCTCAGACTTTGCATTTGTTTTGTTAGCAGCAGCAAGATGATAAAAATTAGCTCCATTCATGCTCCAGTTTTGGCCATAGTTCCTTGGCCCCAGACCCTAAATCCTCTCTCTCCCTGCTCCTTAGAGCCACATGGGGGTAATGAGTCACTTCCCTCTTTGAGTCAGCAAACCCCCTGGCTCCCTTTCTCAGCAGCATCCAAACCTGCTAACAACATTAGTGGCCTGTTCCAAGCTACCACATTCCACTCCAGCTGCGGAGGTGGCTGTAGAAGGGTTGTTCACTTGCCACTGAAATGTGGAGTCTCCAGTGCATTGGGAGTAGTACAAGACACAGCAGGCTATCACTAGAGAATGGGGTTATGGTTGTGATTACTACCCTCCTCTCTCTTTTCTTTTTCCCCCCACAGGGAGGGAATGATTATGAAATTTATGATGATCCCCGGACAATAGGACACAGCGTCCAGTCTCCCCAGGACACGGTCCGGAGGTGCCGTGAGATATTTTTTCCAGAGAAAGCTAATGAATCGTGACTCCAATACCCTTTCACCAGCACTCTGCCTCCCAAGATCCCACATTATGAAAACCACCTTCATTCAAGGACTCTGTGCTGGGCCCTTCGAAGAAAGCTTTCCGGAGCTGGTCAGGAGGGAAAGATTTAAATTGAAGCATGGGAGGGCATAGAGAAGGGGATTATTCACCTTCCGCCACCCTCAGATACAGGTGGGCTGTGTGAGACCAGATTCCTCCCTGCCACCAGGTAGATTCTCTTCCTTTTCCAGGTGAAGGTTCTTGGTGGGAGATGGTTCCCTGCTTTGTGGTTATGAGGCATGTATAGGGGCCAATCACTACACTTTCACTCTCTAAATGTATTTGCACAAGCGAGGCACTCTTCATCAGTTAGCACCTTTAAATATGAAGTAGGGTCTGGTTCCCCTAAGCTGGGTGGTTCTCAGACTGCTTCACACAGCCCACCGGTCCCTGCAGGTGACCTGGAAAGGGTCTTAAAAATAGTCAAGGCTGCAAACCCACATTCTGCTTGTCCCTGTTTTGCCAGAAGTTGGGAATGAGCGACAGGGGATGGATCACTTGATGATTAACTGTTTTGTTCACTCCCGCTGGGGCCACTAGCACCAGCCACTGGGCTAGATGGACCTGGCTGTTCTTGGGTCTTGTACCCTTTCCAGCTTGGTTTAAGTGTATGAAGAAGGCCAGTATTTCTTTAGTGTTTATTTATATAGCTCGAAAAAGGGTGCACTGGGTTTCTGTTTTTGTGTACACTAGAAACATCAGGAATGTTGGCTTTGATTTGGCTAGAGCACTTCTGGGAGGTGTCAGGAGTGTTTATTCTGCCCTTAGCACCTCCGCTGAAGAGGCTGGGAAGTTTAACAAAGAGATTCTTTTATCCACGTGTTAATTAGGCATTGAAGGAGAGTGGGTGTTCAGTTTAAAAAAAGAAATCCGCTCTGGCAGTTTCAGCAGTCTGAATGCTATGCCCTTTTCTCTCCCACTTGCTCAAGTCTCCCTTGTCTGGAGAAGCTATGAAGTGATGCCACTGCCAAACACCCTGGGAACTGCCTGCCTAGACAGGAGCTGGAATCCTAGTTCAGAAAACCCCAGCCTTTAAAAAACCAACCCAGCCCTTTCAAGCATTCTTTGTCTGGCTGAAGGAAAGCACAGAACATCCCTAATCTGTCCCCTCCCTTTTGCCAGTCACCTCTGCAGAGACAGGTGCCCATCCACCCAGAGCTGCCCAGGACATGCCCAGCAGAACTGCTGCCATTTTTCTTTCCTTTTTCTTTCTCCGGGTCTTTGTGGCTTCTGTTTTTTCACCCATCTTTAGACTGTTGTGTTCTGAGTACTGCTTTCTTGCCCTGTAGCCCAGAGTGGCTCTTTGCTTCTTTGTAGTGACTAGACCACACACAGAGCCTTCAGTCTCCTCCTGCTACTGAGCTAACAAACCAGGCCCTAGTGCCTCCCATGGCTTTTGGCCTCCTAGATCCCGAGTTGTCTGTGGGGTCTGAGCATACAGATTCAGGTAGGGGATCACTTGCAGGGTTCCCTTTCAGCAGTTTTTCAGAGAGGCTGAGTACCCTGTGACACCAGTATGACATCGTACTCAGCCACCCTGATAATGGGGCCCTGGGTCCTTTGGGCATGGGATGTCTACTGGCAGCCCTGCAGGGCTGAGCTTAGAGTTTGACTAAGGGAGAGGAAGAACTTTCCTCCTCCCTCCCTCCGCTGCTGCTTTGTGCCTATCGACTGTTCTTGGGGCTGGGTGCCGTGGGAGCAGAGATGTAAGATGGGTCCCTTACCAGGGCCTACCCGCTTGTTTTCCCATTCAGGAGCTTAGTTGTGCTGTGGGTGCAGGGTTACACAGCTCTCCCCCCACGCGTTGTGCTCTGCCCTATACCCACTTTGGACTCATCTGGGGTCCATTACTGCACGATGGGCAACGCCGGCTGCCCAGCCCTGCAGGGTATTTTCTCAGCAGTGCTAAGGGTCACTTGGCCTTGCTCAACATCAAGCCTGCTGAGGCTTCCCCAGGGCTCCTGCTAATGCACAGTTCACCACTTGCAGCTGGAAGGGCACTTCCTTGTGGTGGCAGGTACCGCTCTGTGAATTTGTTCCAGGGTCTGTTGTGAGATCCTACCAGCTGCAGGCCACTGTTATGTTCCTTCTCCACTAGAGCCCAAACCATATTTGGGGCCTGGTCAGCACGTGGTGGGCTGTGCCTCCAGCCCCAGGCCGCTGCGGAGGGGAGGCCAGTGTGGCTCTTGGCCATAGTGCCAGGCTCTTCAGCTTGGGCTGCAGAGGCTGGTGGATTTAGCGCTGGAGGCCCCTTCTCCAAAGCACATTGCTGGGCTGCACAGGCTGTATAAAGTGGAGCAGCTGGGCTGCCTGGGGTGAAGCAGAGTCCAACCAGCTACCCTCCTCAGCAGATGCACAGATTGAGCCAGGCTTCCTGTTCTAGCCTTTCCCTGCCTGCAGGCCCCCACCTGCCCTGGCAGCCACAACCACTGCAGGGAAGCAGCATGAGTGGGAGAAGGGGGTCAAGCTTATTACCAAAAGCCACCTCTGACTTTGGGAGGGGCTTAGCCCCAGCCATGCTGTGCAGGGGTGAGGACCTAGCACACGACGTGCACCTGCTCACTGCCTCAGAAGCAGGCCCTGGGGGGCTCAGCTTGGCTGCTTCCTATTAGCACTGACACTGCCAGCCCTACACTACTGCAGTAAAGCGGGCGAGGGACCAAATGTGGGTGTGGTGGGAAGGAGCAAGGCTGGGTTCCTTGCTGGAGCTTGGGGCAGTGAGCATCTGTGCTTTGGCTGAGCAGCGGCTTATGGCCGAGGAAGAGCTTTTGACCACCCCACATGGGGCCGCTCCTCAGAAGTATTTGTGTGCACCCCGTTCCCAGAGCCCTCGTTCGGCTAGTCACTTTGCTCTCCCTAATGCTGCCAAGAAATTCACGTTGCCTGTCTACACTGCCTTCTTGTGGAAGAGCTCTTGTGCAAGAGGGCTTATCCTATTGGGGAGAGGAATAACTTCCGGAAGAAGCACTGTTTTTCGACACTGTACTGTAAATTTACTTATACAAGAACGCGCATGCAGTGTAGACGCTCGGCAAGATTTTGGTCTAGAATTTACCATCTGTTTCGTAACACTGGATTTGTAACCCTGGTGGGTTGATCTCATTGTGACAGAGGTGGAGAGGCCATGAAGTGGGAGCCCTGTCCCTCCCCCTCACCTTCTCCCAGGGGAGACAGAGCATTCAGTGACCTATGACAGGCTACAAACAGGGAGGACACCTCCTTTGTGTTAAACCTGCAACTAACCACAGGCCAGCTGGCACTAGTAAACAGACTCTCCCACAGCCCCTAATGAAGCAGGCATGAGTAGATGGAGGGGTGCATCAGTGACTGAGGAGACAGGTGCTCTGGTCATGTCTGTGGTAGAGCCAGACCACTCCTGTACAACTGATCCCATGTATTTAACACATTAAAATGTTAAATGTGGCCATAGAGGGCTGTGTGCTTTGTTGCTCAGAACTCTGCAGCCTGCTCCGGGGCTTGTAATAGAAGGGAGCCAGCTACTGCTCACCTGTTGCAGCTGTGAGATTAATCCACCCTAGTGCAGGATCCTGGGAACAGTTCTGCACTAAGGTCCCTGCCTATGTCTGGTAGGTGAAAGAGACACCACACGGATGAGAGAGGCAGAACTCAGAGGAAAGTCACTTTGAATGGTTTATTGCCAGTGTTACAGAGGTCGACACAAGGTCAGACAGGCGGGAACCACACCAGAGTTGTAAAAAAACAAAAAACAAAATGCTTCTAGGTTTTCAGTCGACTTCAAAAAGGACCAAAGAGTTTGTCATGGCCAAGCCAGCTGCTGCATGTTCCTGGAGAGAGGTGAGAGGCAGCTGCAATTTCTGGCACAGGTTGCTCCACAGGGAAGGGGGGAGGGGTGGCTGGCTGGCTGCTGCTTTCAGCTTGATAACCAAAGAACAGCATTAGCTCAGCTTTCAGGAAACAGCCACCCTCGGGAGAAGGGAATAACTTGTGCCCCTGATCTGTTTGCCCTCAAAGGCTGAGGCGGGTGTTTCATTAGATGAGCCGGATACAGCATCCTTCCTCCACCTCTGTCTTGCACTGCTCTGAACTCCTGCATGTGGGTTTCAAAGGGCATCGAGCCCTGTGATGAATCACTCCCTGGTAGGCCAGAACCCACGCCCAGCAGTTTCTGCCATTGCCTTTAGCAGCAGTGGGATGGGGCTAGAACAACCCCCAGTCCCTGACAGCTCAGCTTCAGAGGAGGGGCAGTGAGGTTGCTGTGACTCACAAGGACTCTCCACTATGCTCCTGGGAGAGTCACTAACCCTGTGCCTGGAGAATAGCAAGCGGCACAGCCTGAAGCCATTTGGGTAGGGGGAAAAAAAGTCAGGCTGGTGCACCAGCCAGACTCAGTGGGCTACTGATCTCTCAGGCTACATGTACACTGCAGGCTTCTTGTGCAAGAACTGCTTTGCAGGAAAGTTCTTGTGCAAAAGGTCTTCCACAAAAGCGTGTCCACACTGCCATGTGCTTTTGCGCAAGAGCTTCCATGGCAGCATGGACGCTCTCTTGTGCAAGAAAGCTCTGATGGCCATTTTAACCATAGGGGTTTCTTGCGCAAGAAATTCACGTTGCCTGTCTACACTGCCTTCTTGTGGAAGAGCTCTTGTGCAAGAGGGCTTATCCTATCGGGGAGAGGAATAACTTCCGGAAGAACTGTTTTTCGACACTGTACTGTAAATTTACTTATACAAGAACGCGCATGCAGTGTAGACGCTCGGCAAGATTAGCCTGCAGTATAGACATAGCCACAAGGTATTGCAGCTTTGCATGGATACTGGACCAGGCTCCAAAGCACATCAGACCCATGCATTATAGGCTTCAGCTTAGTCCTGGCAGGATGGTGCCGCCTCTGCCCACCTTCCCAGGGTAATGGAAGCAAGAGGGTGGAACTGCCTTCTGACCACCATACAAAGTCACTGCTGCCTTCTCTTCCAGCCCAGGTACTGCTCATGCACATGTGCTCTCAGTCTCTGGACCAGGCAGCCTATTTGCTTCCCTACAGGGCATCATGCCACTCAGCCAAACTGACTTCCTCCCCCACACTGCAGAGCTGTTGCTGTGTGCATATCTTCCTATCCCTTAGGCCAGGGTGTTGGCATTTTCCAGAGCACCAGCCCAAGTAAGTCTTCAGGAGGGAACTTTCAGCCACCAGTTACATCGTCTCCAAAGCACTGATCCAGGTCAAGGAGCAGACAGCACCAGTGTGCACGGAGCTGCAGCCCTGGCCAAACCCCTGCTCAATACACACGCGCTCAGACTGGAACGTGTCCCAGTCTGCCAACATGACTGACGCAAGCCTCATGCCAGCCACACCCTGCACATGCAGCCCTCTCTCACTCCTCCTGACACACTGTACTAGGAGGATTGCCTGCTGGCTATTTAAAGGAAGACCAGAAATTGTTTGTCTGTAGCAATGATCCCGTGCGCCCCTGGGGGAGGTGCCCAAAGAGGCCCAGATACTATAACTAGAGGAAGCGGTGATGCAGCACAGCTAGGCAGCTGCATTTCCACCATTAACTGCACGGCCAGCTAGACTGCTACCCCTGAGAACATACTGCCACCAACCCCCTATCTCTATCACCCTCACTCCCTGCCCCACTGCCAGCTGATCAGACATAGCAAGAAGAGCGGGGAGCTGTAGCTCACAAATCAAGCCAGCTCCATCCCAAGAAAAGTGCTTCTTCACCTGCAACACCTACAAACACAGCCAAAGGGCAGCAGGACCCAGCAGGTCTTTTCCATCCACAGCATCTATGGTGTTGTGTGACCAGGATATTAAGAGTTCCTTGTTCAACCACTCAGTCCAAGCCATCCCCTGGCACAATCCTCCCAGGCCTGGCCCAGGAGCGTGACCTGTAGATACAGCACACCATGCTACCATAGCAACCGTAGCCATTATGCCATGGAAATCCAGAGTCACAGAGACAGAAGAGAGTTGCCAGTTGCCACAACAACTAGGACACTCAAAGACAGGAGCAAACCACAGGCATTTGTGTGTGCGCGACGGGGGAGCAGGAACCGGAATGTACCACTTGTGGCTAGAGGGAACTTGAGAAGAGTGCCTCCTAAAAAAGAAACATCTTACATTTTGCAAAGATTTATTATATTAAATTGATTAAATAGTTTAATCAACTTAATCCAAAGCAGGAAACCATGTATCCAGCTGTGTAGCTACTGAAGACCACTCTTTTGAGAATTAAAGACAGCATGAAGCCTACAATTTGGTGACTACAATTGGGTAGTGCATGACTGGCCCACACATCAGTAACTAGAGTCTAGATTTATTCCCACCGCCTTGGTTTCTTATGCTCCTTCCTGGTCTCTCTCTCTCTGTCTCTCTCACACACACACACAAAACAAACACCACACCAAAATCTATACGGGTCTGTTTGATCTGCAATCATCTGAAGCAGGAAGATTTCTAAAGGAGTAGGACTGAATACCAGCTAGCACTTCTAGTGGACCTACAGAGCACAGGCCTCAAAATGGGTAGGACTGAGGGAGAACAGACGTCAACATCTCAATTGGAAAATGGAGGCAGAGAGATTGAGGCCAACATTTTCAGAAAAGCATATACTGAGACACTGAGGCCCTGATTTGCTGCGCACCCACAACTCCAGATGAAGTGAATGGGAACTGTGGGTGCTCAGCACCTTTCATCATCAGAGCCAAGATGATTCAAGCTGGGCCACTGAGAACTGAAGCACCAAGAAATAAGAATCAGAGATTGCTTCTGAAGCTGCTGCCAAAGAGACTTGCCCGAAGCCCCACAGTGAGTTTGTGCTGACTAGACTGGGCAGGAAGAAGTTTTAAAAGCTGCCCTAAAAAATGCAAAAAATAAGAGTCTCTCACTCCACAGTAACAAGCTTTGGCAAATCTCAGTTACATTTGGGAGAACCAGGAGACAGTGGAGGGGTGGGGAGACTTAATTCATATTTTAAGACTCCCCTTGCATGTTCCATGGCCTACAAAAACCCGGGTCATTGGTATATTTTTTACTCAGTATGCCAGTATTTGGGGGAAATTAAAGAGAGGGGAGGTAAAAGGGGCCTTACTAGAGCAGTGGCCAGATCCAGAGCCCATGGAACACAGCTGGTCTTTCTGCAGTGGCTCAGAGCCAGCTGGCGGGGGCAGGGGGTACACTCCATTTTGCCTCTTCTCTCCCCCCACTGATGGGAGAGGAGTGGGAAGAAATTCCATCTCTCCCAAGGTGAGAGTCCCAGGAAAGACCCCGAACCCCTAATTAGAGCTTTCATTCTAGATACTTCTTTAAGTCTGCGTGGGGCTGCCCCCAATGATAAGCGCCCCCTTGCCCAAGTTCCCCAGGGTATTTCCACCCACCTCTCATGCCCCCTGGATCTCCTGAGCACCTGTTGTGGGGCTGGCTGATACACTGGCCCCCACATGGAATCTGGAGCTTCCTAAAGGAGCTGGGGCCAGGGAAGGATGGTGAGTTGAGATGGCCTAGGCAGCAGGATAAACTTGATCTCAAGTCCTGGTGGGTGCACACTCTCCTCTCTCATCACAAGCAGGCTCTTTTGCACATGGCCCTGACAAGCGGCCATATGAGCTCATGACATGTGCTCTGCCTCTCCCTCGGCCCTGAAGGAGACAGTTACAAACAAGAAATCTTATAAAAGACACAAAATGTATACAGCTACATGTCACTTTGCAGACAAGAAACGCTATCCCGCCCCTCTTCTCCCGTGCCAGCTGTCCCAGGTTTTGTCCCCCCTACTCCAGCCTTTAGGCTGAGCCATCCCATACACTCCACCCAAGGCCTAGGAGCCGATTATTTGGCCGGACCACGTCTCGTGCTTTGTGTGCGGGGTCAGGTTGGTGAGCACCACCTCCACAGCCTGGAACTTCTGGTTCTTGGGTGGAATGGGGCAAATTTTGTACGTCACCTCGTCTCCTTCCACTGGGACGTACTCCCCCTCGATGCTGGAAGAGAAGGACATATGGCACATTGTTAAGGGCTGAAACAAGACCCAAGCCAAAACAATACAAAACACAGGAATTAGTGATGTTCTTAATTACTGTGGCAACATCTACACTACAAGGTTTTTGCGCAAAAACCTGCGGAGCGTCCACACCTCAAATGAGCTCTTGCGCAATTAAATGGGCAGTTAAATGGCAGAACACAGGGCTTTTTCCACCGTAGGTAAACCTCCTTTTCTGAGGCATAACTGCTTTTAGCGCTACAACTATTGCACAAGAAAGTAAGTGTTTACACTCCAGAAAAAAAAACTGAAAAAACACAGGTGCTCTGATGGCCATTCTGTGAATGGCCATCAGAGCTTTCTTGTGCAAGAGCATCCAGGCAGTGTGGATGCTCTCCTGCGCAAAAGCACATCACTTTTGCAATATGTTTTGAGGTGTGGACTTGCTCTTACGCAAGAAGTTTTTGTGCAAGAACTCTTGCACAAAAACCTTGTAGTGTAGACGTAGCCTGTCTGTTCTTCGGGAAGTCAGGATCAATGCTTCATGCCTGAAGACCTGACATCAGCTGTGCCTTTTCTACAGGAGTGGGGAAAACTGCCGTGACATCCCTCTTCTCCCTGGCAACAGGATGAGGCCATGAGGGGCTCTGGCATCAGGCTGACTCTTGCTATTTGGGGTCTTTCACTGGGACAAAAGCAAGCAGAACAGGTACGGCCCAGATAGCAGCCTGTGCACTTCACCTACACACTCTACACCTCCAACCTGTACAGCCCCGCTCTGTAAAGTGGGCCAAGGGAAAAAGTGTAATCCTCTTTTCCTGGAGATCTTAGCTACTGCTATCCCTTCATAACCACAGCGAGCCCTTGTGGCCCAGTTAACACCACTCACCATGGGCATTTGTGGGTTGTGAAGGCATGCCCACCACAAACTGGACTGAGATCTCCCCAGCCCCTCTCACCCAAACACTTCCCACAGGCCCCAAACAGCCATCAAGCGGCAGCAACTTCTGGTCATTACCAGATATTGCTACCAGCAACCTCCAAGTTAGAGGCTACTGTCCTGTTAGCTAGCTCCTAGAGGCCTGGGTGACTGAGGGGACAGTGATGACATCAAGGTGAAAAGCTCCATATCCCACTCCCCACAGAACTCACTCAGACACGTGTACAAATATGTCCTCTGTGCCGTTCTCTGGAGTGATGAAGCCGTGGCCCTGGGAGCGGGAGAACTGCTTACAAACGCCCTTGAAGACAGGGCCAGCAGAGGCACGAGCCGTCCTAGGGAAGGAGAGAGGAGCGGGGAAAAGATGAAGCGGTCGTCTCACCATTAGACAGTGCCACTTCATGGATTCAGATTGAAGTCTCACAACAGCTCTAGCCCTGCAGAAGGCCATGCTGCCACCTTTTTAAAACAAGGAGGGGCCCCTTCCCATTAAGTTCATAGTCTGGTGTTTGCAGGACCGCCGAATGGGCAGCCCAGGCAGCAATGGGGTATCTTTTATATATTCCATCTAGCAAGACGCTAGATACAAAAGTGACTGCTGCTCTTAATGTCAGAGTTGGAGCTGCACATTCTGGCTATCATGGATGCCACTCAATTTAGCAGGACAGACACTGTTAATCTCACATCCTCTCTGAAGATCAGGGTTGCAATTACAACCAGGAGGTATTCAAGCTCATCTGAACAGGATATATATACACACACACACACACACACACACACACACACACACACACACACACACACACACACACACACACACACACACACACACTTTTGTTAGTCTCTAAGGTGCCCACAGGACTACTCGTTTTTAAAGTTACAGACTAGCACAGCTCCCCTCTGAGACTTTTTTAAACCAGGAGGCAGACAGAGATACCCTCTCCTCTGTTGCAAGCAGCTTTACACAATGGACAATCCCAAACCCAGACAGGAATCAAAGCCATTGTATTGCTACTGTTGTTCTCCCAACTGGCTTGCAAAGACCCATTGGACCCGGGTATTGTTGGTGCTGCAGTGAGGAGGTAGGGGGTGGAAGAGGAAATCAGTCAGCTATTAACAAAATTAACAGACCAGAGAGAGTCAACAGCCTCCCTGCAAGGGGGCAGGTAGGATCAGTCACTAAGTGATTGAAAGTGTTAGGACCTATGCCCCACACAGAGCATTTCCCTCAACCTCTGCTCTGTGTGGCATACGGGACACAGCCACATCACCATCGGCTAAGTAGGCAGCAGCCCAGGGCGTCACACATTAAAGTGGCACCACTGGAATAGCACTCTGAGTGCCAATTGCCCACCGACGTGCCAATCCCAAACAGCTCTTCACCAGCCCTGGAGTGTCTGTCTACATGCTCAACCACAGCAGCTCACATTTTCACTCCTTCATGGCCCAGAATCCTTTGCATCTGTTACCTCAGGACCTCATTTGAAGAAGCATCACTAACTGGTGCAGAGAGTTCTTGGAGGGCGGGAGCATGAGGTACCTGCTGTGTGCTTTTGAGTGGTGGGAGGAGGAGATAACAGTGAGGAGCCAGCTGGGTGGGCGGACATAAGAAAGCGATTTGTGGAAGCTTCCAATCTCATCCTTGCCTAGGGCAAGCGGGGACACAGGTCTGAGTTTGTTCACCATGAGCATTAGCGGTGAGTAGGGGTACATATAAGTGTGCGCACACGCACACCCCGTGCCAGAGACCACAGAGCAAGGGCCAGCTCAGTTACACATCAGCTCTCCCCACCCCCCCATCTGCAGCACACACTGAAAAACACACTCTGTGCCCATGCTTCCCTTGCTTCCTACTCTGTGTCTGCAGCATCTGGGTCATCACAGCTGCGGAATACCTGCTTGTCTGGGAGCTGCTGTGGTGGAATGAGCAGAGGGAGCCTGCCCCAGTGGGTGTCTGGGTGTGAGCATGCACAAATAGCTGCTACAATCTCTCCCATTGCTCCCCCACATTGGGGCCGCTAACAGGATTTATACTCTGCCCTACTGCCCCTTTAGCAGCAACCACCCCATCCGACCCTCAGCAGCATCAGCCAGCTACTTACGCAGAGTATGTTCTGGTTCTCTTGGTGGGGAGGGGGCTGGGCAGGTCCCGGAGGAGAAGATTGCTCCGCTCCCAGATCCGACTTCCCTCCCGGTGAAAGGGGAAGGTGGGCCAGACGGGAGACTTCGGGGAATGGAGAGGTGGGACTGGCGGGGGGGTGGCAGGGTCTGACGACATGGCTCGGTTGGCAGGGTGATCCGTCTTCTGGAGGGAAAAGCGGCAACAGGTAGAGAGCGAGCTTGTGATATTCACTCTTATTTCAACCTACGGTATGAAGCAGAGAAAGAGCTGGCATGACATACGGGGAACGGTGGGGGTGTAATGCAGCCAGTTGCCTCACTCTCATTGCATCCTAGCTCATTGGGTGAGCAGGGCCGGGCCCAGCCAGTGCGTAGAGAGGAAATCAGCCAGGAAAAGCTGTGTGCTGGAGAGGTGGGACGATGGGGGTGTTCCCGGGGCATCTGTACGGATCCCAAAGCCCCAGCGCATGGTCACAGCTTGGCAGTAAGACCAAGTTCCTCAAGCAAGCAAGGTGGGAATGGCTCAGACCTGGGGCCAGGGTTGGTGTTTTAGAAATCAAGTTTGTCACAGTGGGGCATACTTACAGGCAGCACAACTTTTTACAAAAGCTGCTGCGTTGGACTGCTCCTGCAGCTCCCACCCCCACGGACGCAGGCACCACCCACTCATCCACTGGACTCCACACTCACAAGAGGGAGGGCCAAGGAGGATGAGGAAACTCCCTAGTGGCTCTGGGTGGGCCCACTCCTTCCACTGCTCCTGTGAGCAATGTCTCCCCCTCCCCTCCCCTCCCCCCCGCAGCATCCTCCTTGGGAAGAAGCAGAGGAGACCCTGCTCCTGCCCTACTCAGTAGCCTGGGAAAGAGAGGTAGCAATGCCCACGAGCTACCGCAGGAGCAGAGGTGAGGCTGGGAGGAAAATGGGGAGTCTAGAACCGGTTGCTGGGCTGGCAAATGGGCACACAGGGGAGACAAGAGCCCCACTTATATTGGTCAGATCACTTAAGCACTTAGTATAGTTTGCAATGCAAGATGGGGGGAGGGGGCGGGGAAATCAAGGTCTTTCCCCTGTGCTTAGAAAATATCCCTCTGTGGCAGCTGCAGCTGGGACCCAGGTCATTGGCAGGATGGGCACCACCCAGAGAGCAACTGGGCTGGATGGAGCTGCAAGAGTTCAGCTCCACTGCTCCCATTGCAATGTGAGCTGTGCCACTACATCCCCTTGTCAGCTTTAAACATCTCATCCTATAGAAAAGAGCTGTTGGTAACTCCCATTGGTCATTTTTCAGATGTGATTTAAGACAGGTCTCCGCTAAAAAATTTGTAGGTAAAGTCAAGTCAGTTAGAGATGGGATTTGAGTGAGACATTTCTATTCAGCTCCACTGCTCCCATTGCAATGTGAGCTGTGCCACTACATCCCCTTGTCAGCTTTAAACATCTCATCCTATAGAAAAGAGCTGTTGGTAACTCCCATTGGTCATTTTTCAGATGTGATTTAAGACAGGTCTCCGCTAAAAAATTTGTAGGTAAAGTCAAGTCAGTTAGAGATGGGATTTGAGTGAGACATTTCTATACCCTCAATAGACCTAGTGTAGAAGAGATTGTACCAACATACAGCTTGGCACTAAAAATTAGCTGTGTGATGTATGTTAACTCTCATCATTGATATATGTGAACCAAAGTCCTTTTTATGTTGCAAATGTATACATACACCTCTACTGAAACTGAAAAGTATTTTTCCTTCAATTGAATCAGACGGATGAAGGAAACACTGAACTCAGTGATGGAATGTGAATAATCTTTTATCCTGACTTTACGAATACAGCCAGACATTCAGGGAAGAGACCGCACAAAACCAATGGAAGGTACCTACAGAAGTATGTTACAAGAAATAAGACTGGGTAATTGCTGAGGAGTGTTTGAGCAATAAGAGGTACTTGTGACTGCAATATTTTTCTGTAAGGGAGGAAGTAATGTCCATTGAAAGGTGTTCTTAATTAATTATGAACTATCAGTTGCTGTAATTGTCAATAAGAATAACAACGAGATCAGAAAGCCCTTTAGTCCAGTTCAGTCATGGAACCTGAGACAGCTATGACAGAAAGTCCGTAAGTAATGTTGCCTCCCTCGGGCACAGTGACCCCAACAGTAATATAAGGTATCAAAAACAGAACAGGCTGAAGTGAATCTCATAGGAAAGTATTTTTCCCTCCAAAAAGGCGTTTCATTGTCTCTCACCGTGAGGACAGAGGTTGGGGGAATTAGATTGAGATTTGGGAATGAACACTGCCAGCATTCCAGCAGGTACAGAGGAAGTCCCAAACTACCTTTTCTTCATCATTCATGGGGTGGATGGTAAGATGTGTTTTCTTTCTATGTCCTGTACAATGCTGTATGAATCTTTGATTAAATAATTCCATTGGAGCCAGTTATGCTGATGATTTGCATTGCTACTAAATTCCAACACACAACAAAGTGCTTTTATTGCTATCATTTGTATCGCTTTGGGAACCAACGTGAGCTCCAATGGCAAATCCTATCCCTGACTCTTTTGCTGATATAACTTAATTCACCTCCTGGAGGGTTTATCAGTAAAGGGCATCCCCACTATAAGTTGCCCCAGTATACGTCAGTTCCACACTAAAGTCGCTGACATTTGTAGAAACTGATGTGTTACAAGTCCTCCCGTTCCCCGCTATAAGTCGTGTGAAACACTCCCCCCAATTTGCTTAGATGGAAGTCAGCCATGGGAAAAAAATTCCCTGCTTTAAGTTGTTTTGCTGTAAGGCCAAGTTTGTTGGAACTTATCTTGGACTTATAGCGAGGGTGGCCTGGATAGCCACCACCAGGAGAAACACATACTACCGACTGTGGAAGCTGTGAGCGCTCTGCTAATCAGCTGGGTGGCATTTGAATCTCTCCTGGGTGGCCTCCCCAAGTGCACAGTTTACAGGGAACACTGCTGCCAACCCCTCTCCATAAGCTTTGTGAACATCAAGGCATGTAGAACAGGCCCACTCAAAATCAGCCAAAAGGAAGCGAACCCCATGGAAGCTGTTCTATTGAATACAATCGTCTCCGTTTTTGTCCTGTCTTCCCACAGTCACGCTGTGCCTCACATGCTGGCACTGACATTGCCTACACTGTCGTCACCACCTCTTTCTTTTAACAGCCTTCTCCATTTCCGTTGCCCTCCCACTTAATCTCCTGACTGCTAAGCTCATTGTCTCAGTTATTCCCTCTTCCCCCCCCCCAAAAAAAAAAAACACCAGAGAGAGCTAGGACGGAATCCAGCAATAGTTCTGTAAGCTGAGATACCCATCCCCCATCCTTCCTTCTCTACCAGGTGCTTACCTAGCCACTGTCCACATTCTGGAAAGCCACAGAGGGGCCCGTCAAGGATGCTCAGGCAATAGGAAGTCACAGTGCAGTTGTGGAAGTCTCGTCACTAGAGGTGTTTCAGGACAGATAGGACACTTTTCCACCACCCCCCGTGTTACATGAACATTGGCTTATGAATATGAACATATATAACTCAAAGATGCTTTATGGCAGGGATCTGTGTTCCTGGCTGCTGAGCCTTTATTGCTGAGCCCTCACAGAACTGAGCTGGATCAATGTTTGCGTTAATCTGCTGGGGAGTGGAAACTCCAATTCTGTGCCTTGTCTGGGGAAGAGCAGAGCTTCTGGCCCAGCAGCAGAGTTGTGGAGGGCCCTAGAGGGCAGGAAGGCATGCATCAGTGGCTTGATCAGCACACCAGCGGACAACCCCAAGGGGATTTCTGTGATCCAACTTGTCAGACACCTGTCAGAGAGGGTTTTGAGGTTTCATTGGTCCTGCCTTGGCATAGAATACTGGACCAGATGACCTCTCAAAGTCCCTTGGAGCCCTACAGTTCTATGATTGTATGCTTTTTGCCCTGAGATTTGCATAATGTGAGAGGGAAAAATGCTACAGAGTGATTGTTCACCAGATTCCTCACTCTTCCCAGCCTTGCCTAGGCATGTAACATCTTCACTGAGACAGAGGGATTCCACTTTTAAAGAAACCCATTCATTTATTGCTTTAGAGAAGTTGTGCTTCTCCCGGCACTTTGCAATAGACTACCGACCTCACATCTTTGCCACTGATCTGCTGTGTGACCCCAGGCAAGTCACTTCACTTCACTTCTCTGAGCTTCAGTTACCTCTCCTACTCTTTGCCTCATATTTACATTGTAATCTTCAGGACAAGGACTCTGGGCTGCTGTAGAGTGTCTAGCACACCAGTGTCTACAACCATCTCAGCTAAGGCACTATACACTAGTATAATGCTAATGATTTATTTTGATTTTAACCACAGAGCAGAAGTGGATATTGAGAGGTGACTCAACCACCTGATGCCCTTTTTTGGAGCACAGAGTTTGTTTCTCTAGATGTTACTCAATCCACCTTGCACAGACGGAAGTAGTTTCTTTCTCTAGTTTACCACAGTAAAGGTTTCCAAGCTGAGTTTAAGCCTCTCTATGACTACTGATGTCAGGCTGCTCTTCAGTGCCAACACCCACACATGAAAAATCAGGACTCGTGAGACTGCATATGAGATTTTTTTTAAATTGAGGGGTGGGGGAGGGGATTGGCCTTCTGTTTTTGAGCCTTTAGGATTCATGTTCTCAAGCTTCCATCTGCTGCCATGTAATAAAGCAAGGGTTTTAAAGACAGACACCAAATTCTGAGAGACAAACAATTACATTGCAAGGGCTAGCAGCATTGGGGTGCCGGACTTTACAGCAAGAACAAGAAATTAGATACGGCTGTGGGCGACCGGCCTTCAGCGGACTTGAGACTCGGAGCTGCTATCTGGATCCCAAAGCTAATTGTTTAGTCATTTTGAAATCACCACATGGGTATGATCTCACTTGTTTTTGACACTCAGACCAATTGCATGGCAATGCTAGCCCTGATGGCGCAAGAGGCATTGAGAGAGGCTATTTTTGTGCATTTCTGTCCCATTGGGTAAGCAGGAGTACAATTTCTTAGGTACAGAGGAGTGTCTCGGGCCCCGTTTGATGTGCATATGTCATGTCACCAGCAGACAGCTGTTGTGGATGCATTGCTTTGGGGGTTATTTTGGTTATGAGCCGCGTTCACTTGAACGTATGAGGACAGCCCAGCATTTGCAAGCAAAGGGGTGTCCTGGGCAAGTCCCAATGCCGAGAACTCTTTGCCTAGGAGAAGTTCCCCTGGCAGTTTCAACTGGAGGTG